CCATGATTCAGTTATCCAAATCTAGACGAATTCTGCTCAGCTCCCAAAACATAAAGAAGATCATAGTGCTCATTGGTAAACCGGGGAGGGAGGAGGGAAGAAGGGGGATAGGAAGTGGCCTGTCCTTGGGGTGCAGGTGGGAGTGGAAGCTTCAAAGCTTCAACCTCATTCCTTCAAGTGATCACGAAGGATATTCTAAGGCCTCTCCCCTCACGTACCCAGCCAGCCTGGGTAGGGCTGAAGGATTCTGTTCCCACCATCTCGGGGGAGAGGGGTAGGACAGCAGGACATTTTGTTTCCCAGAAAAAGCTCAGGTCAAATTTCAAGGACAAAAGTTAGCGCTTGGCCTGGGAAAGAAAATTCTGCCAAAGGAATAAATGGAGGGGAAAGGAGGGGAAGGGAGAACTTCAGTGCAGTCATTCCAGGTCCCTGGGGGTGGGGACAGGAATTGGAACTCTGATTCCTCCCGCCAAGGATCTGTCTGGCAGGATATGGGTATCACTGCCCCACAACCCAGAAGCGCTCAGACCACTTCCTCCATTTCCCCTCTGTCCAACAATGAGGGGGGTTGTGGTACTAGCTTGTGGGTCCCATCCACCATGTCCCCCTGCCCCAGCCCACCAGATCTGGTCTGTGCGGAAGAGGGTGGTGGCACGAAGGGCTTTCCAGCCCAGAGATGTGGCCTGAACCGCTAGGAGAGGGACCGGTAGCCGGCTGGTGTTGCCATGGCAACTTCCTCCCTGCACTGGATCGAAGCTTCCATCCTATGGGCAAATCAGAGCTGGCTGCTCCAGCTTCTCCGCCCTTCTCCTGGGCGGGTGGGGGAAAACTGGACGCCAGAACCATTTCATCAGGCTCAGGAACACCACCCTCGATTCCAGACTCCGATGTAACAACCCCCTTTGGCACTGGCTGGAAACTGGAGATACCCCAGCTCCCCAGCTATGCCCCAAGGCGGCCTGGCAGGGCTGGGATTGCAGACGAGATTGGTGCAAATGAACCAGTCAGGAAGTGCAGGGAAACGGCAGCCAGGATGCTCCCCACCCGCATGTTTGGCATGCAAGTCCCCCAAATCCCCACCATTAAGCCACTTCGAAGAAGGAGGGCCCGGCTCCACCTTAATAACTATAACAATGCAATAAAATTACCCTATTGAAATTATAAAGCTAACATTTTGAAAATCAGCCTTCTCCCCTCCCCAAACCCACAGATTCTTTTTTATAGTCATGCGCAGAAACAACTCTTACTTGGTAATAAGACAGATCATAGCTAACATGTACTGAGAGCCTACCTCGTGCCAGGTACTACACTAAGCCCCTTGCACAGCACAAGTAGCATAATACTTGAAAGCGCTGATGCTTGAGTCAGACTGCCCAAGTTCAAATCCTAACTCCCTTACTTCCTGGCTGAGTGACCTTGAACGAATTACTAATGTCTGTGCCTCAGTTTTCTCATCTGAAAATAGGGATGTTAACAGGATGTTAGTTTTACAGGGTTGCTATGAGGAATGAGTTAAGATAATATATTTAGAGTGCCTAGGAATGTGTTAGCAGAAGGTAATCATTTTAAAAACATTCACCCTATGCAGTCCAGGTTATTATTTTCTTCCTCCTACCAGATGAGAAAACTAAGGTCACATGTCTAACTCCTCCCCACCCCAAACCTCCCCAATTACAAGTCCAATGCCAGCAAGGCTGAGCAACAGACACAAAAATGCCCCCAAGTGCATGGCTCTCTAAAGCCCCGGAATCCTTGTGAAAAGGGGCAAAAGAAGAATCATACAAAATCAGTTCAGAGCACACAAGGGAAAGTGCCCCTTGAGAGGAATTTCAGAAACCCGCAATGACCAGCATCCTGGGCCCGGGGGTGGCTAGAAAGGGTGGGAAGAAAGGGCAGCTTCCTTTGCCCACCCCAATGGCCAAGGATCTCAAGCCCAAAGCAGGACCCTGCTCTGCCCCAGTTAAGCTAATGAAAAACAGTCTCCTCCTCACACCGTTTCTCAGGAAACTAGCTGAAGGATGACACATAAGCCCTGAAGATGGCTCTGGCTCAATCTGGTGGATGAAAAAGATGCATTCGACATGAGTTGGAAGCAGCAACGAAGAGGAGGCTCCTAGATGAGCCAGAGGCCTGTCAAGGACACACTTGTGAGCCACTGGGGACAGACAGGCATTAAGAGGGCCGGGAGAGAAAGGGGGAAGAGGCAGGTGGAGCCCAGTCTGCTGACAGCCTCCTGCCGAAGGAGTCTCTGGCCAGTATCGGAGAGATCATTCCAACTGCTTTTAGAAATTAGTTCAGCATGGTGCTGTTCTAAAATAAAATAATAAATCCAAAAGGCTTCTTTTAGGAAAAAATTAATGACTTTAAGAACAAGAGAAATTAAAGCACTAAGACAACGTTCCCTACTTCCGACTCTCACCAGACATTCCTTAGTCTTCCGGAAATCAAAGTTCACTTCTCCCCTCCCCCTCCCAAACTCGAAGCATCCCTCAAGAAGAGCAGTGAGCAAAAGAAGCCCAAACCTAACTCTGGGCTGCCAGCCGCTCCCTGAGGCCTCCTCACCTGGGAACCATTTTCTACAGAGTGAGATCTGGCTTTTTTAAAAATCCTCTTTCAGAGGGAGGGCTACTGGTTTACTGGAAAGAAAACTGGAAACCTGATTTTAGTCTCAGCTCTGTGTCTGCCTCACTGGATAACCTTGGGTTATAGATACACATGTACACACACACCCCCCACCCAGGGCTTCAGTCGCACACATGCACCCAGGCTCACAGAAATACACACACCCTCCCATCCGATTGGTGTCAAAAAGGGGCTTGGACAAGACAATTTCTAGGTCCCTTCCAAGTGAAACACAAGAATTTCAAGAAATTCACTAGAAAAAAAAATGAGGTGGACCTTTACAAATATTGCTAATATTACATAAAGTTGTCTGTTCTGACTTAAGTGAAACCAGAGCAAGTCACCTGCAGCCTGCAGTAATCAAGCATCTGACCCACGACACGGAGCATCGCTTTGGAGAAAAACCAAACCGTCCCTGCCTCCCATACTCCTACAAACCCATGCTCCCTGCCTAGCCTGGCTCTTGGGACCCAAGTGGCCCCCTGAACTTCAAGAGAGTATCCAGCCATGACATGAAGGATGGGGCCAGCTCATTTAGGCTGCTAGGTGTCCTGTCCCAGCTCCCTCTCTGCAGCTGCTCCCTCCCCGAGACCCCTAGGTAGCCTGATTTCCTCTCTGATTTTGCTCCAGTTGAGGCCACTGTGTTAAGGACCCCCTCTCACCCCACTCCTCCTCACCTTGCCTCGTCCAGAGTAACAACACGACCTCCCTCAGCTACATCAAGGGGCAGGTGAATCCTGAGCCCAGTTATTTTTTCTGTAAAATGGTGATTCTGTAAAATGGCTCTCTAGCAACCATCTTTACCCCCACCCCCACCTCCAGGTCAACAGCGAGACATGTCTGTTAGGGGTCTGCCTCACTCACCCCCATTCATTCACTAGCCAACAAATTGCCTCAGGACAGCATTCTCTCCTCTTCCCCACCTGCCTCCCGCTGGAGCAGGACATGAGCACCCATCACCTATGGTTCCATCCCATGATAGAACCTAGATAGCCAAGTGGACCAGGCAAGGGTCCCCAAGGGCAGAAAGTCTAAACCTGGGTCCACGAACTCCCTAAAAGCGCAGGCTAACACACACACACACACACACACACACACACACACACACACACACACACACACACATGCTTTGGAAGAGAGAGTCCATATTTTCACGAGAGTTTTGAAAGTGGCCATGAAACCATTTTGCTCCTCCCCGCCACATACACTCCTCTCTGCTTTGTCCCCTCATTGAATTCAAATACTCTCAGATTTTCAACTCAAAAAACACTTTGAACTCCACCCTCACACCATATAGAGCCTTGTGTCTGAGGCAGCGTCATCCCCATTTCACAGATGAGGAAATCAAGGCTCTAGGGGTGGCATGACTTGCCCAAGGTCACAGCTAACAAACAGAGAATGAAGACTGGAACCTGCTTTGACTGCCAACCTGGCACACTGGGGAACTCTCACTCAAACCCTCTAGCTTCCCCACCTGTTGGATCCGCTCCCCTACCCCAGAACCAGATCCGGAACTCCCATGTTCCCTCTGCCTGGTCCCAGCTTCCCAAAGAGCAGGTTTCCCTACCCCTTCCCGCCCCTCGGGCTCTGGCTGAGCTTGCGCGCAGGCCCGGGAGGAGGAGGCTCCAGCCGATGAATGGTGGCTGGGTTCAGCCCACCCAGGAGGGCTACTCAAGGGACAAGAGCACCTGAGGTCAGGGGCACACCGGCCGGCGCGCAAGTGTAGAGTTGGCACCACCACCCTACACCTCCCCAGGAGGAGCGGGGAGGAAAGGCCATCACCTGGCCGGTTCCCCGCGATCCGCCCCGGTCGGATAAGAATCGGGAGTCCGGAGCCCCAGCCTGTGGGGGAAGGGGAGAAGAGACAAATGGGGGCGCTTAAGGCCTCGGGCGCCAGGCTGGGGTCTTGGGCAGAGAGCCTTTAGATGCAGCCAAGACAAAGATGGAGAGGTAAGGTCTGCGTGCCACCTCCAATGGCGGTGGGCGCGTCAGAGCCCCAGGGGTGAGGCGGCCAAGGCCCCGAGGTGTGAAGAGTAGGCACATATAGGAGACTCAGGGTGGGTGGCAGGTAGGATCCAGGGATGAGGCAGAGGGCATCCAGTAGGCGCAAGTGAGTAGGGAGGGCTGGGTCCAGGCGATCCAAAGGGCCCACCTGCGGATGATCTAGAGGTCCCTGGGGGAAGGCTAGAAGAGAGCGCATCCTAGAGACCCTGGGGTCCGTGGCTGGGGAAGGAGACCGTGGAGGCGCCTCCCCGAGCAGGGCTGGGGGTGGGGAGGAGAGACTGGCCATCTCTAAGGGCGCACAGGGTCGGGAAGGGGGCCTCTGGACCGGGATCCCAGGACACCCCCCGGGGTCGGGGGGCGGGCCGCGCGCTTACCCGCGTCCTCGTCGTCGAAGGAGTTCATGCACGGGAAGTAGATGGCAAGCGCCTCGAAGGAGGCGGACAGGCTTAGGCGGCTCTGTGAGCGCTCCATGCCCGCCCCGGCGCCCGGCGCCTCGGCCGCAGCAGCGGCGGCGGCGGGCGGCTTGGGCAGCTTGGCCGCCCCATTCTTGACGCGGAGTACGGCGCGCGGCGTGGTGGCGGCGGCCCGGAGCCGGGCCGGGGCTCTGCGGCGGGGCTGGCGGGCGCGGCGGGGCCGACAGGCAGGAGGCAGGCGGCGGGCGGCGGGCCGGGAGCTGGCGGCGCGCGGAGCCCGAGGCGCGCTGTGCTCCCGGCGGCGGCAGCGGTGGCGGCGGCGGCGGCGCAGCGCGCTCTGGCCCGCGGCGCCCCCCGCCGGCCGCGCGGGGCGGGCTCGGAGCGACAGGCCGCAGCCAATGGGCGCTGCCCGGGGGAGGGGGCGCCGCCGGCGGGGCGTGGGAGCCCGGAGGGCTCGGGCTGCGTCCCTTCCTCGCCGCCCCCAGCCGCGGCAGGTGTGAGCGCCCGGAGGGAGGTGCCGCGTGAGGCTGTCTGCGCCCCCGTCCGGGGCCGATAGCCCCCCGTCCCAGCCCTCACAGTCGCTCCGGATACAGGCGTCCAGTCCCCGACCCAGACAGGCCTCACCCAGCGACACAGGCGCGCTCAGAAGGAACGCACGCACAGGCCCGTCGGCACCCGGCCTCCCACAGAGACCCTCGGATTCACACATGCACCCACAGAGAAGCTCAAACAGGCACCCACACCTACACACGCACTCTGCAAGATGCACCGCAGGCACCCGGGCAGATACACCCACAGACTCCCTCCCTCCTAGACAGACAAATCCACGGACACACACAGACTCGCACAGAGACCCGCACAGAGACCCGCACAGGGAGATACACTGAAAACCACACCCTCAGACTCTCACACACACAGACTCAGGGTGACACGCAGGACACCCTTGGCACCCGGCCTCCCACATAAGGAGACCCTCATGTCCCACAAAAACCTACAGAAGTTCACACAGGCACACACACTTACTCACAGACAGCCTAGAATCCAGACACACAGACACTCGTAAACTCAGATGAACACACAATCCCAGACCAGCACACAGATTCCCAGTTCCTCCTCCTCCTATGACCCCTTCAGTACTGAGTATCAGACACTGACAGACACACTTCAGTGGCACACACACTCACACCAAGACAGGGCCACACAGACTCGGTCACTCGCAGTGATGGATACATTCTGATGCACTGACACCTTGGAACTCACACAGACACTGAGACACACTTGGGCCGGCTCACACTCACATATATCCACCCCCAGTGACCCACAGCCCTCAGACTCACACACAGACAGGCTCAGACACTCAGAACCCCCTGGAGAAACAGACGAGCATAATCGGAAACCCCTGCACCCCCTGGCCTTGATCCGGGACCTGAGGATCCCCACCCACCTAGTGAGGCCCCAGCTGCTCCCACACCCTCTTTATGAAGCAGCCTGGTGAGATGGAAAGAGTTCGGGCCTCAGAAAGAGACAGCCCAGAGCTTCAGTCTCAGGCACTATCTTTTGGGTGGCCTAGGGCAAAACCCTTACCTCACTGATCTATTTCCTCATCTGTACAATGGGGACAGGAACACCCCATTTGAGATGGTTGTGAGGATTCAATAAAATCCCATGGGTATTAGTTTTTTGGTTTTTTTGTTTGTTTGTTTGTTTTTGAGACAGAGTCTCACTCTGTTGCCTGGGCTAGAGTGCCAGCGTGTCAGCCTAGCTCACAGCAACCTCAAACTCCTGGGCTCAAGCAATCCTTCTGCCTCAGCCTCCCAGGTAGCTGGGACTACAGGCACACACCACCATGCCCGGCTAATTTTTATTTTCTATATATTTTTAGTTGTCTGATTAATTTCTTTCTAATTTTAGTAGAGACAGGGTCTCGCTCTTGCTCAGGCTGGTCTTGAACTCCTGAGCTCAAACAATCCACCCGCCTCGGCCTCCCAGAGTGCTAGGATTACAGGTGTGAGCCACCACGCCCAGCCAATATTAATTTTCTATTGCTACATAACAAACTAAGTGACTTAAAACAACACTCATCTATTGGTTTACAATTCTGTACGTAGGTCAAAAGGCTGGGCAGCCTGAGCTGGCTTCTCTGCTTAGGGCCTCACAAGATATTGTGCAGACTGGACTCTTATCTGCAGGCTCTGGAGAAAAATCTGCTTCCAAGATCATCCAGGTTGTTGGCGGGATTCAGTTCCTTGTGGTTGCAGGACTGCGGTCCCTGCTTTCTTGCTGGCTGTCAGCGAGGAGTCAACCTCAGCTCCTGGAAGTGGCTCTCTGGTCCTAGCACGTGGCCCTCTCCACCTTCAAGGCCATCAAGATGTCGAAACTTTCTCATCCTTTGAATCTCTCTAACTTCCCATCTGCTTCCTGGCCTAAAAAAACTCTGCTTTTAAAGGGCTCGTGTGATTATATTAGGCCCACCCGGATAATCTCCCTTTGACGTATAATGTAATGTCATCATGGTGGTGGTATCTTTAATTATAGTCCAGTTTCTGCCCACACTCAAAAAGGAGGGGATTATACAAGAGCAAGGATCACAATTCTGCCCACCACTATATGTCAAACACCTAGCACGGTGCCTGGCACAAGATTGGTGCTCCTGGGTCCAGCCCCCTTCCCAGGAACCACACCTAGACCTTGAAAGCAGCCTGGAGTAATGGTAAAGTATGTTCCTGGTACAGTCGTCCTTGTCTTGGTAAATGGCAGCTCCATTTTTTCCGGTTGTTCAGACCATACATCTTGGAATCATCCTTGACTCCTGTCTTCCTCTCACACACACTACATTCAGTCCATCAGCAACTCCTGCCGATCCTATGCCCAAAACGTATCCAGAAACTACCACTTCTCTGCCCCAAACCCTCCCATGGTTCCCATCTCATTCACATCAAAGTCCAAATTCTAGGAGGTCTTAACATCTTTGGCTCTGCTACCTCTCTGCCCTCATCTGCAGCACCCCCCGGCTTACTCAGCTCTAGAACCCCTGAACTTGCTGTTGCCTCTGCCTGAGACACTCTCCCTTCTGGAGAGCTGTGTGGCTCACTCCCGCAGAGCTCTACTCAAATGTCACTTTCTCTGTAAAGTCTTTCGTCACCACCCTTTGTAAAGTAGCAAAAACCCCTCCCTGAAATGCCAAATCCTCCGTACCTTGCTTTATTTTCCTCTGTAGCCCTCATCACCATCTGACACATCCCATATAGCTCTATATGTGTAGGGGGGTACATACATACATGCACACACACATACATGTATGTGCAAATGTATATGTGTATATGTATATACATTTTTTGTTGTTTATTTGCTTATTGTCTCTTTCTCCCCCTACCCAGAGCCTAGAAGAGTACCTGGCAAAAAGTTGGTGCTCAGTAAATAGTTGTTGATCGGATGCGTAAAGTCTCACACCAGCCTGAGGAAGCAGGCTCCCTTAGTGCCCCTCCCCCATTTTACAGATGAAAAGGTCCACAGGCCCACCGTGTGCCTGTTACTGTACCCAGCTCTGAGAATACAGGAATGAATAAACAGACCTGGTCTCTGCCGTCATGGAGTTTATAGTTTGGCAACATTAAATGATTATACCAATAATTATTTAATTACAACCTTATCTAATGGTTTCGTTATAATAATAATTTTAATTATAATTGGGATAAGTGCCATAAAAGACACATATAAACTTTATAGTGTGTGTGCGCGTGCAGCCACAATGGGTGGGTGGAGCATCTGACCCAGGCTGAGGGGACCAAGGAAGGCTTCCCTGAGGAAGTGACGTTTAGGCTGAAAATGGCACCTCCTATGTGCCTGGCACTGTTCTTAGCCCTGTTCTTGGTCAAACGTGTTCTTAGAATGCATTTGACTTATGTATATCAGTAAATAAATCAAATCACTGCCCTCAAGTTTGCAGTTTAAAATAATCTGCGGCTGCTCCGGGGGGAACGGGTTTGAGTTAACACGAGGGTTGCCTTCCCCCTTCTCTTCAGGTGAGTCGTGATTTGAACCAAAAAGACTTTGACTGTTTTTCTGCTTCCTCAGCAGAGGAAGACGGCTGAGAAAGACACCTGGGTGAAAAGGTGGTGTGGAGGAGGTGGGGGTCCAGGGATCCTGAGGCCAGAAGGGAGGCTGTGGTCGCAACTTGGGTGGGAGGCAGTGAGATGTAGGCTAAGGAGAGGGCTGAGAATGTTCCGGAGATTGCTTGAGCAGGACTAGAGGACACACTGGACAGGGTGAGGGTAGGGGAGGAAGTGGAGGGACAAAGACACTACTGAGCTCTGAGCATCGAGAGAAACAGCACCTACGGCTGGACCCCTCCTCACACAACCTTCTCCTAGGTGACGCACGGAGGGAAGTGGCCCCTCTACATAGTTAGCAAGACCTGCTGAGTGGCTTTCTCTAGAGAAAGTGAGAAGTGGCTGGAGGGTAGCTCAACCTCAGGGTGCCCCGTTTGCTGCTTTGTCAGAGAAGGAAGGACTGATCTTGTCTGTGTTCTGCCTGCTGGGGTAGATGTGCATGCATGTGTCTGTGTGTGTGTGTGCGTGTGTAATGTCTCTGCTTATGTGTGCATGTCTCTGAATACACTGGCATATCTGTGTCCTTGTCTTTGAGGCAATAACCTTGTCTCTGAGCATGTCCTTGCAAGGTACGTGTCCTTGTGTTAAGTGTGTCCAGTCTGCCTTTGAATGCAACATGCATCCTGGTCTTTGTATGTACCGATGTGTGTGTATGTGTGTGTGAGACACACACACATACACACACACATAAACACACACAGAGACAGAGCGAAGAGAGTGCCTGTCCTGCCTCTGTGTGCACGTGACCCATGCGTCCCTGTTTCTGTGTGATATAAGCCATGCTATGCTTATATCCTCTATTGATGGTGTGTCCTTCTCTGTGCCTGCCCTGTCTCTAAGTGTAACAGGGTCTATGTGTGGGTGTGACTGAGCTGCATTGGCCGTATTTGGCTGTCGGTGTAAGATTTCTGTGCTTGTCTGCACGTGTGTGTGTGTGTCTTGGCGTCGGCGTGAATGTATCCTTGACTGTGTGTGAGCACTGCTGTGTGCGAACTTGCCCATGGAGC